ACTGGGGGATGTATCATTTTAATCAGAAATTTGCGCGCTACAATCCTGCATATTATTAAGAAAGGCTTGGGTTATATATTGCGATTTCTGAAAAACAGGTTTTCCAGAAGATTGGATCTTCGAAGAGCTATGGGCCAGTCCCATGATCATATTCAGAATCAACATAGTCGATAACCTATAACCCACTAGATGTCGATCAAAAAGCTTTTAATCACCTCAAAAGGTTCCCTCGTTAGTATAAAAAAAACTTTCAACTACTATGAATCAATGTTGGTAAAATTAATATGAATTTTTAAAATTTTATGACTGTTTGAAGACATATTTCAGACTTCAAATTTAGAATAATGGTATTGTCATTTTTGAAATTGTCAGTTCTTAACCCTTTACATTTTTGATTCGAGTTACCTTATTTCTTATATTTATATTTGTAATTTGTTTTTTTTCTTTTAAGTTTATAAACACAAAATATGCTTACATTGATATTATTTACAATTATTATTATTCTTGTTTTGACATATTGTCGTGTTATTTTTCAACGACAACAATATTTCAAATTATTAAATATATCCGGTCCTAAATCTGAATTCTTTTTTGGTCATTTACGTCAAATTTGGAATGTTAAAGTATATTCACGAAAACTACAAGAATGGACAAAACAATATGGTAAAATTTATGGTATTTTCGAAGGAACACTACCAATTTATGTTGTTTCTAATCTTGATTTTATTGAACAAGTTTTTATTAAACAATTTTCCAATTTTAATACTCGAAAATCAGTCATTATCACAAGTATTTCAAAAGGAAGAAGTACTCATTTAGTTAGTGCTGTGGGTCGAACATGGAAACGTCAACGATCGATAATTAATCAAACATTTAGCGCTATAAAATTAAAACAAATGTCACCGTTGATGATCGATTGTGTTAATGAATTGATGAAAAATGTTAAAAATGAAGAATTTAATATATATACTTTATATAAACGAATGGCATTGGATGTTATATGTAAGAAGTAAAAAAAATATTTAATTTATGTGCATTACTATTTTTTCTTGTAGTCTTTATTTATCAGTGAGAAGAATTAGTGTAAATTATAATTTCATGGATTATATAATTATAGTATTTTCGTACTTTTTTTTCTAGGTCGTTGTGCTTTTGGAATTGATACAAATATGCAAAATGAACCAGATAATATATATTTGAAAAAAATTGATAAAATGTTTTCACCAGATATTCTTAAAAGTCCATTAGTAAAATTATATTTATTGTTACCAGAATTAAGTAGTTTATTTATAAATATATTTTTGTATCAAAATCGTATACGTGGAATAATAAACAAATTTCTTCCAACACGATATAAACTAGAAAAAATGCCATTTGTTTGGATATTAGATCAAATCCATGATATTATTAAAATGAGATTAAAAACAGAAAAACAACGAATAGATTTATTAAAATTTATGTTAGATTTAGCAACTCATGAAGATATAAAGGTATGTAACTTACAAAAGGTACACACATCATTTGTTTTAGATAAAAAACAATTTTATTAAACAAAATTTCTTGAAAAGAAATATTTAGTTCAAAAAATTTGCTTCGGCTATTTGAATTCAAAGAACACCCCCCATGAGGGGCATTTTCGATAAATTTATCGTGATAAATGATATTTTTATCTACCTGTCACCGATTTTCTACCATTTATCGAAAGAAAAAATTCATCGCGATAAAGAATTTTTTTATCGTAAAAATCTCTTTTATCGCGATACCTGTCGATACATATATCCTATTATATTTAGCTATGATTTATCGCGATGAATTTTTTCTTTCGATTAATTGAGAAAAATGGGTGACGGGTGGACAAAAATATCATTTATCGCGATAAATTTATTGAAAATGCCCTCATGGGTAAGTGGCGTAACGCAAAAAATGGTTACAAATGCAAAAGTTTGCAAAATTTTCATACTTTTGTTTTAATACAAAATTTTGTAAATATAAATGTAAGAGTAACAGCTGCTGTTACTCTTACATTTATATTGAAATTACTACGCCTTAACAAGTAAAATATTTTGTTCTAGAAGAGTATACAAAATTTTGTAAAATTTTGCTTTTATAACCATTTTTTGTGTTATGCCACTTACGTTTTTGCAGTTTTTTTTGCATGACTACGCAGAAAAGCTTCGGTAGTTTCTACGTGGGCTGGTATTTCAACAACTATACTTGTCCTTTTATAAAATCAGATCAACTAATAAAGAAATATGCGTATTTGATATGATGAAACAAAATAACAGTTTTGTATTTTTTCGTTTTCCTACCTTGTTCGAATCTTTCTACATTGTTTTCTCTATATGTCTTGTTTATCTTCTCTCTGCATAATAATTAATGTTCAACCAATAAATAGCGAGAAAACAAATTCGAAGAGAAATGGAGTATATTGCTAATTCCAACTGCAACAGAAATTTTTCTTGTTCAAAAAGAGGGATAAAGAATCTCTGTCAAAGAGGAAACATACTGAAACACAATATACACATGCCACTTGAAAAAAGCAATCAAATATTATAATTAGAAACTCAATCGTGATATTTTTATATGGCAAAAAGGAGTCTTTTGATTTCTCGATATGAAAGAATTCTTTCATATACTAAAAGAAAAAAACTCGCGAAATAGAACATGAAATCAAAAGTTCCAGTGGAAACGCCGTATAGAAAAAGCGTGAATTTTAAGATGTAAAGAAAAAACCGTATAATAAAATATGTAAATCCTAAAATCACGAAAAATAATTCAACTTTTATAGCAAAACGACAGCTTTTTTCCGCATCACCAGTTGAACTATTTTTTTCTGACAAGACGTTGAAAGTAAAATTATCGAAAGAGATCTGCAAATAGGTAATCGAATATGCTGGTCATGATGGTAAATTTAGTTTGTTTAAAAGCCTTGAGGATCTTCAAAAGGTTTTATAGAGATCCTCCGGAGGTCTGTTGCACAATTTTTTGTTTCCTTTTTTGCCTTCATTAGATAAGGCATGAAAAGTTGCATAATGTGTAAAATTTCATATCTAGATAAAACACCGGAAAATCAATCTCCTCCTTCATCGGGATTAAAATTTAATCGTGATACTTTTAGCTTCCTGTCGAGATGACCATTTTATCACCATAATACTCGATAAAAATCTATTAGAGTTTGTCGCGATAGTTTTGTTTTAGAAGATAAAGATCACACATATAACGATCATACTTTTATCAAGATAAAGTCCGATAAATATTTATTGCAGTTTATTGACATACAAGTATTCTCTAAATGACTTGTATACCGCGATAGTTTCGTCTATTGCGTTATATCGAGAGACTGCGATAAACTGCAATAATCTTTATATCGCGACAGAGTTGCTCATTATCGCGATATTTCAGCACATTTCAGTGGCGGATCTAGAAAAAAATTTCAGTGCTGGTGGATTTGTACAAAAGAGCAACACAATCGATGAAAAGTTCTATGCGTTTGGCACGTAGCACAAGAAGGAGAACATAATAGTACGAAATCAGAAATTTTGGTGCCGGCGGCCGCCAGTACCGACAGCAACGTAAATCCGTCACTGGCTCATTTAGCATAATATCTCGATATATCACAAGTTTTCAACCAAAATTACCCTCATGGGACTTATGCGACGAGGTTAATTCGTATATGTTTCAGACCATCACGCATCATTGACATTTTTATTTCACATACTTCATAATAGGATTAACAGAAGTTTTAACTACATGGGTTTGAGAGCACCGTTTCCAAAATATATTTTCAAATGTTTATTTTGTTGCATTAAGAGAGTTTAGATGAGATTTTGAAATGAAGATATTTGAGAAAACTTTCTATATCTACGAAATACAGTCGGATAAAAGAAGTTTTCTTTCTTTGAACAAACTTCTAAAAAGTATAAGGCAAAAAGCATGTAGCATTTATAAAAGTTTACTGGTTCGCTGAACTTGATTTTTGAAACGTACTCTTAAGAACGAGAATGTCGATACGAATTAAAACTATTAATTCAAATGTAATATTATATGTCTATCCATCTTTGTAGAGCTCATTGCGTAAAATATAGATCCATGTTTTGTTTTGTTTTGAACAACCAATGCACCATTCATAGTGAACCCGAAATCACAAACCATTCTGGTTTTCGATTTATAGCTTCTCAAAGGTATTCAAAACTCTGAGCTTTGCCGGAAGTCTATTAACACTTGAAACCTTAACCAATGGAAAAAGAAATGATAATAAAAAGTAGCTAATTGTTTTGGGCAATTGCCCATTCCATTTGGAGATTTGCCCATTGTAATTTTTATTAGTAAGTTTTTGCCCATTGAAATTTTACTTCGCAGATATACCCATGCAATTTTTTTCGTATAACGTTTCGAAAGATATATGTAAGAGCGTGGACAGACAGAATTCATAAAGATCTCGATATAAATCCAGATGAAATATTGAAATTATGTACACAAATACATCATCGTCCTCTTGATTTTGGTGCCTGAATGTGAGATGTAAATGTTATAAACAGAGGCATTAAAAATAGACTAAAACACAGCTGACTTACGCTTAAAATTGGAGTTTGATGCATATTTGATTAAAAGACTTCATTTCATTTTTTTTGTGCTCTTTTTCGACTAAAAATGTTTTGGCCCATCAACAAAAACCTTGTCCGTTTTGCCCATCGTTTTTTTTGCACACAATAGAAGTTTGCTCATTGGTCTAAAAATCTGTGTATCCAGTGTTGTAAAAAAACGTGTAAATAGTGTTTTATGTTGTTGCTCAATTTTGAATATTAAACATTAAATTAATAAACATCTATTTCACTCTATTGTGTCCCTTTCATTCGAACCTGTAATTGACTGACCAATGAAAAATTGTATTAAAAACAATTGAGCGTTGTGACGAAAAGACCTAGCACCCTATCTGACGGAATCACATTTTCAACCACCAAAAACATTAGATTTGTGCCCTGGATGTAAAACGATCGGAACGAGGATATATTGATTTTAAGAATAAAAAGATTTATTGCTGCTAGGTTTATCTCGTTAGAATTGGCTGTTGTTTAACAGTTACATATACGGATAATAAAGCAATTTTTTTTCTTATAGGAACAAGCAGACAACGGTATTAATCAGTCGATACCAAAACAATTAGCATACGGAGAAGTGCAACATAATGTATTCTTTTTTATGGTGGCTGGCTATGAGACAACTGCAGTAACGCTTGCTTATTGCACGTACGTTTTGGCTAATTATCCCAAAGTACAAGAAAAATTACAAGAAGAAATTGATCATCATTATCATAAAGAAAATGATAATTATTCTGATTATTATATTATCAGTAATATGGAATATATGGAATTGTTTATTAAAGAAGTCTTACGTATGTTTCCAGTAGCAATATCACAAACAACTAATCGCCAATGTGTACGAGAAACAACAGTTTGTGGTTATCAAATAGCTAAAGGTAATTTATCTTAGTTCTACTTTGACTGCTTTTTTTATGATTATTTTTTGTGTACTTATATACAGGTATAATTGTTCAAGCAGATGTTTACAGTATTCATTATGACCAAGAGTTATGGGGTCCTGAAAATGTTAATGATTTTTGTCCTGAAAGACACTTAATAAAACGGCATCCACTCGCCTGGCTTGCGTTTGGTGCTGGGCCACGTATTTGTGTTGGAATGCGTTTTGCATTAATCGAAATTAAACTTTTACTTATGAATTTATTAAAAGAATATACAATAATCAAATGTGAGAAATTAGAAAAAAATTTCAATGTTATCGAAACGATAACCATTGCACCAGAAGAAGTTTGGATTAAACTTGAAAAACGTTATTAAGTACGCCTTATTATCGAGCATGGCAAATTAAAAATAAATATATTTCCATAGTTTTCAGTAAATAGAATAGTGTGTTATAGTTATTTATAAAAAATATAATGTTGTATGTGTTATTTATTAATTCTGCCGCGTTTGTCTATAAACGTTGAAGTTATTTATGTTTTTCAAGAAACATCACTGAAAATTAGTCTATCTTCCCCTTTTAGCGGACTTTCTCTCTTTGTTTCACTTTTCTTTGTTCTACTATCCGTTCCAAAATACAAGACAGGCAATGGCTTTTTGAATAAATTTTGGTAGAAGCCAGCTAGAGAGCTTCGGCCTTTGCCATGCGAAAGAGGAGATCTGGAGACATCTTTCCATAAGCAGGAACGTTTTCAGAAGTGTTTTCTGAAATAGGTTTCTAGGAGATCTTTGGAAAACCAGGCTGTGTGTAAAAGCTTTTCAATAAGATTATATTGATTTTCCTCCA